AGAATTCTCAGATAATCATACCTCCCAGTGATGCCAGAAATCTTGCTGGTATATAGTATCTACTTGATCTTCCTAAACATCCTAAACTAAAAGTGAAGCTAAATATTAAATTAAAGGCAGATGGACCTCCCTGGTGGCGCAGGGGGTTAAGACACAACCTATGAAGCTATCTGCAGCCACTGCAGCACGAGTTCAACCCCCGGCCAGCCAGGGAGCTACCAACATGGCTCCGCAGACCTCTCCTGACTCGCCTGGTGCTCCCCTCAGCAGTGTATTGCAGTCAATCTGCCTGTTCTGTTCCCCACTCTGTCTCTGGTGAATCCTCTCACCCCCCTCACCTCTGGCCTGTACCCCAGTTCTTTACGCATAAATAAATAAATCTTTTTTAAAAATAAGTAAAATTAATTAATTAAAGCCAGATAATTTTGAAAAATACAGACTGTGCTTGAATGAGGACATGCAATAGGAAACCTTCTGGGACTAGCTAAAGGGACATGTGATTTGATGATAAAAAATATTCTGCATCCCCTCTGTAGCTTTTTTTTAAAGTTTTTTTAAAAGATTTATTTGTTTATTTATTTATACAAGAACTGGGGTACAGGCCAGACGTGCAGGAGGGTGAGAAGATTCACCAGAGACAGAGCGGGGAACAGAACAGGCAGACTGATGAAATACACTGCTGAGGGGAGCAGCAGGCAAGACAGGAGAGGTCTGCCGCGCCATGTGGGACCCTCGCCGGCCGGCCAGGATCAAATCGGCGCTGCAGAGATTGCGGACAGCTTCACAGTGCGGCGCTCAACCACCTGTGCCACCAGGGGAGGCCCCCTCTAGGCATTTCTAAAGTAGTGACCTTTAAACTTTTGTGGTTAGGATACATAAGAAATACAAACTTTTATATAATTTAACAGCATATAAACATATATATGTGTATAGCTTATTTTCATACCCTATATTCAGTTCTGGCTAATACTTCCCATTGTATCTTATCTCATTTCTTTAAAATGTGTTTGTGCCTAACAACATTAATCTTACTCACTATGAATTACAAACTAGAGTGGAAAACATTAAAGTATTTTCACAAAACATCCTAAATCAATTTTGCTATAGAAGTGCATGTAAATACATATGATAAACCCCATTTTATCCTCATCCTTGGAAATTTGGCATTTTCAAACAAAAAGAAAGAGTAATCTTTGATATGAGTCAGTATGGTTACCACAAAATATATATTTACTATTGAAATGTAAGCTTCACCTGCAAAGGTTCACATTAAAGTTCACATAACACCATCTGTTCTGTATATGACAGTGTTACTTGATACAGACAGGAATGCGCAGGCAGAAAGGTCAGCAAGTGCCTTATGGTCTCTTCTTCTCTTGGCATCATGTGACTGTGCTTTAGCTGTGACATAGCTGAAGGTCATGCATTGCTGTGTTGTAGCCAAAGGATTCCATCTCCTAGTGTGTTCCCATCTTATAAGGCAAGTGTGAGAGTTGCATTTTACATGTTATAAACAATTTGACTTTGTCTACCAAGCAGTCTAGCTTAGATACCAGCTGTTTATGGTATCTGGAAAATGGCAGCTGCCCAAAATCTGTTGAAATTGCCCCATCTTTACTCACCCTTGGTCCTATGGAAATTTAAATTTCTTCATAGATTCACCTGCTTGAAAGAGGGAAAACTGTACTCATGTGGAAAATCGCAGCTCTCCACAGAACAGGAGCTGATGTCAGGCCAAGATCTATCTCCTTGCTCAGCAACCCAGAGAGAGTCCCGGAGTCACATATCAGGTAACTTTTCTTGAATCTACAGTCTTTCATACTTCTATGTTTCCTTTATGTCCAGAGCTACTTCATAAGTTGTTTCCATCCAGATCTAATTGTGGCCCTATATCAAGTTGGCCAGAATAGCAGAGAAAACTGAAGATTATTCTCAGGTTGAAGTCGGCCCTTGGAAGTGTAGTGCAACAATTCAAATATCATCAAAGCCAATTCAAATATCATCAAAGTCATCATGACCAGTCGTCCAACCATCTGATGGCGTGAATTTGACTGTTTGATGGTTAGATATTCACAGAAAGTCTAAGTTCAGAAATCACTATCTCCCATTCTATGACCACTTCCTGAGTGCACTGTACTAAAAACTGGGGTAAAGAGGAAAAAAAGAAACTAAAATTTAATTATAGCATGCTTGCTAAGAAAGATTTTTTTAAGACAGAAGATAAACTTTTAAAAAGATCGAAGATTGGGCCTCCCTGGTGGCTCAAGGGGTTAAGCACTGCACTGTGAAGCAATCCACAGCCTCTGCAGCAAAAGTTCGATCCCCAGCAGGCCAAGGAGAAATCCACATGGCGAGGCAGACCTCTCCTGTCTCGCCCACTGCTCCCCTCAGCAGTGTATTTCAGTCAATCTGCCTCTTGTGTTCCCCACTCTGTCTCTGGTGGATCCTCTCACCCCTCGCATCTCTGGCCTGTGCCCCAGATCTTGTATGCATAAATAAACAAATCTTTTTTAAAAAATCAAAGATTATACTGTTCTCACTCTAAAAAATTTTTGAAGAAGCACATTCTTATTCAAGCTGCTTTTTAAAGAGAGAGAGAGAGACTGAGAACCCTCCCTTGCCCATTCAAGGTATTTCCTTAAAAGAAGTTCAATTGGATGGCATACATAAGAGTTAGTTCAATATTACATCCTAATTTATTTACAGTTACTTTCTGTTCAGGGACACCTTCCTATCCTCCCCTTCCATGTATTACTTCCCACATAAAAAGGATAACTTATATATAAAAGTAATAAGAATGTGGATCAAGAAGATGTATCAACAATGGAATACTACTCGGCAATCAAAAAGTTAAACTCATGCCATTTGCAGCAACATGGATGGAGCTAGATGGGATTATCCTCAGTGACAAAAGTCAGAAGGAAAAAGAAAAATATTGAATTGCTGTACTTAGTGAATGGAGCCTGACTAAATGGAGCAGTTAATTACTAATGGCCAGAATCAGGCTGTTTAAAGGGATTGGCAAAAGCTTCCATGTTTCTCTCTGCTTTAACTGCCATCCACCCCTTGTTCATTATGTAATCATTTACACAGTCCTGATAAGTTGCTAATAAAATAATATCATAAAAAAGAAAAATATTGAATGGTCTCATTTATAAGAGGAATAAAGGGAAACCAAACAAAGGGGCAGAAAAAAGATAAAACTTGCAGGCAAACTATAGATCTGAGGCTTACAGCAGGGAAGGAGAAGGGAAAGGGTCAAAACAGGGATGGGAAGAGCACAAGGGACTATGGTGACAGTTCACAGGTGATGTGCTGGTGAGAGATTTATGAGGACTACACCTGAGGGGAAAAATCATATATTGTACAAAAATGAACAATGTAAGAAAATAAATTAAAAAGATTAAAATATTTTTCTTTAAAAAAGGTAGTAAGAATGGAAACTGACATACAACTGTTTACATTAACAAAAATTTATATTCCCAGCCTCCCTGGTGGCACAGAGGTTAAAGTCTCAACATTATCAAGCTATTGCCAGCCACTGCAGCATGAGTGCAATCCCTGCTCAGGGACCTACCCACATGGCACAGCAGACCTCTCCTGTCTCGCCTGCTGCTCCCCTCAGCAGTGTATTTCAGTAGATCCGCCTGTTCTGCTCCTTACTCTGTCTCTGGTGAATCCTCTCACCTCCCACCTCTGATCTAGACCCCAAATCTTATATGCATAAATAAATAAAATTAATCTTTTTAAAAAAGAATTTATATTCCACTGGCTTCCACATAACTTTACCAATTCAGGAATAGCTGGCCTAGAAAAATGAAAGTTGCAAATAACTTCATTATTCGTTCAGGAACTACCTGGCAGACTCTTCACCTTCAATAAAAAGTGCCAAATGACATTTTTCAACCTCAATACGATTTGAAGCTTTGTCTTAAATTTTTTGTTTTGCTGTGTCCACCAAACCTAAACCATTATGTCACAGTTCTTACCCAACCCTAATCACACCTTTCCCCTACATGGAAAGGTCTCCAGACTTCAAAATCTGAATAAACATTTCTCCTGCTCTGCCACCTCCTCCAGATCGCTATTAAAACTCTGTCACTCTGGCAGTGTGATGTAATAAGGCCAATTTTACTTATTAACAAGTTGATTGATATCTGGGGAGTACAGTATATAATGACCATAGCCACTACTGCTGTACACCATGTGAAAGTGGATTGGTCTTAGACCCTAGGACCAATATCTATAGATATTTCTGATCCATACATTTACTGGATGATCACAGGTATGCTCAGAGATATGAATTACACATTCAGAGATTTAAATGTGCAATACCGCAAGCAAAAACGTAAAGCAACCAGGTGTGAATGTAATTATTCTGCTGACCTGAGCAAATTCATTCCAAGCATAACAGAAAACTGAGAAACTGAAAAGGAAATGATTTATCAAACCATGCAATACATCGATATTAAAATCCTTACTATCTAGGGCCTCCCCTGGTGGCACAGGCGGTTGAGCGCCGCACTGTGAAGCTGTTCCCAGCCTCTGCAGCGCTGGTTTGATCCCCGGCCGCCCGGCGAGGGCCCCACCCGGCGCGGCAGACCTCCCCTGTCTCGCCAGCTGCTCCCCTCAGCAGTGTATTTCGTCAGTCTGCCTGTTCTGTTCTGTTCTGTTCTGTTCCCTGCTCTGTCTCTCACCCTCCCGCGCATCTGGCCTGTACCCCGGTTCTTTTATAAATAAATAAATAAATCTTTTTTAAAAAATCCTTACTATCTAGCTCTGTCATGGCCTTCTTTCTGAGGCACTTTCTCCACTAAGGGTCACCTTGGGCTGTCTGCCACCAAAGTTTCTAGATACTTAAGAAAAATTGGGTGGGAGGAGAAAAAACACTCCTCAATCCCCGAGTCTCATCCTCAGGAAAATCTGTAGTTCCGGGTCTCAGTGGTAGCGAGATAACGTCAAGCTGCACAGTGCACATTAAGTCAGTGCGCATGCCCACTGCTGCTCACCTGCGTCCGTTACTGCGCCTGCGCCTTACTGTTCCCGTGCTAAGAGCAGAGCTGGACCTGAGGCAGTTGTTCTTCTGTCTTGATTCTTACTCACAAGCTGAGACTTAGAGGGTAGGTCCACAGATCAGTCCTGTGAAGAGTTTGTGTGTGAGTGTGAGTAGGAAGCCAGCAAGTTTCTGCCAGATGGTGGCATGGTTCCTCGCGGCGGAGGAAGAAGGTCCTCAGTGGCGTCATCGCCACTGAAACTTGTTGTGTTGGGGCCAGGACAAAAGAGGATAGTGGTCTGTGGATGGCTGGGGGTCAGATGCAGGCAGGGTGAGTCTTCGGGGTGTTATTTGAAGTACCTGAGTTCTGGAGGTGCCTGGGACTACTGACCGGTCAGACTGTGGAGTCCTCAGTGGGGTCCAGGTGAGGGACCAGGAAGGGCGGTGAAGAAAGGGCCTAGAAACGGGGAACCCTGTGGCGTGTAACTGCGTCCTGGAGATTTGCAGTGTGCCTAGTCGAGTGCCGGGGGTCTATGCTCGCGCATCTGTGTAGAAGCTTCTGCTGTTGCCGTGCAAAGTTAGCCAGAAGCGATCTGTAAAGGACTGAGCCGATGTGTTCAAACAAAACTTTAGTGGGGGAGGGGGTGGATGGGCCTAATAAATTAGAGTGTGACCGATTCAGTAACCACTTGTTTAAATTTCCAGCAGTATTTTCCTAAATATCTTCATGCTAGAGAATCTAGTTGTGAAACCAAATCTCAGCGTGCCATGTGTTTGAGGTGATTTCACTGTGCTTGATTAATATAAATGGTGTTATAAATCCTTGTGTTTGGTGTGACCGTAAAGCTTACACACTTATACTTACCCAGGGGCTTATTTTGAAAGTATTTTCTGAGTTAGAAAAAAATGTATAAAGAACCTTTATCCAGAGATGTGGTATAGCATTTTTTAAGTACATTTTTCAAGCCCCATTATTTTATTTTCAGTGTGAAAAATGAGTGGACATGTAAGAACAAGATCCAAATCTGAAGGATCACAAGATGACCGAGAGCCTTCCAGACCACTTGGACCTTTGGTTGTGAGTGCTTTTTTTTTTATAAAGATTTATATGTACATACAAGAACTGGGGTACAGGCCAGAGGTGCAGGGTGTGTGTGTGTGTGTATGTGAGAGAGAGAGAGAGAGAGAGAGAGAGGAGTCATCAGAGACAGAGTGGGCAGCAGAACAGGCAGAATGACTGAAATACACTGCTGAGGGGAGCAGCGGGTGAGACAGGAGAGGTCTGCTGCACCAAGGTGGTGGGGTGTGGGGTGGGGGGATGTCAAACTTGTGCTGCTGAGGCTGCCCATAGCTTCATAGTGCTGGAAATTTAAATTTAACCCCTTGCGCCATGGGGTGGGGTGGGGGAAAACCCTGGTTGTGAGTGCTTTAATATTTGGTATTTCTATAACCAGAAATTTATTTTTCTGAAAATTTTATTCAACTATTATAGATACAGTGATAAAAGTTTTCCATGCTGATAAAGGGATGAAAACACTGATCTAAGAGAATTACATTCACTTGTTGCCTGTGGAAATATTTCCTGTGACTTCTTTTCATGCTTACTAATAACAAATTGCACCCATACATCCCAGAATAGTTTAAAGTAGCTTCCAAAGTCCTTTTGGGTACCTTTTCTCGAATAACCACTCTGTGGAAAGAGTGACTTCATTAAGAATAAGTATATAGACTCATAGCTTTTTAATGTCTTTATTATTTATGATTAATAGCTATTGTGTATATTTATATTATTGGCATGTATTAACAACAACACTTTTTATTTGCATACACACCCTATGCCCAGCAGCTCATTGATAAGCAACTTCAAGGAAAGGGGTCACCAACTGAGAGTCAGGATATTACACCTGATCAGGAGAAAAAAGATGAAAGAGTAGCTGTGGTTCAAGATGAAGGGAAAGGTAAGAATACCAGTGGTGGGCGGGGGAAGTATTTATGCGGTATGTGTTCTGACATGCCACCACAGAAGGAAATAAACCATTACAAAAGGATCTCAAACATTTCCTGAAAATATGAAAGAGTGTATAGTTTGCAGTTTCAAACAGTCCTTCACTATAATGAATTTTCCCTTTTCTTTCAAGATTTGTCTTCTGTGCTTGAAAATACAAATTCAGGTGTTTAAATCAGAGGAAACTTTAATTTTAACCACAAAAAAGTACATTATTTCACTCATTTAATTTGTTCTTCTTAAAATGTTTTGAGAGGCCCTCTGAGTCCTTGCATCAAAAGTGCAAGCAACTGGGCCTCCGCAGTGGCGCAGCAGTTGAGTGCTGGGTTGCAAAGCTGCCGGCAGCCTCTGCAGCGCCAGTTCGATCCCCGGCTGCTCCCCTCAGCAGTATACTTCGGTCCCTCTGCCTGCTCTGCTCCCCGCTCTGGCTCTGGTGAATTCACTTACCCTCCTGCGCTTCTGACTGGGTCAGTGGGTACAGTGCTTGTATAAATAAATAAATCAATCTTTAAAAAAAATAAAAGTAGTTTCTCCCTCTTTTAAAAAAGAAGTGCAAGCAACCTTTTAAAAAATTTTTTAAAGGTTTATATATTTATGCATACAAGAGCTGGGGTACAGGCCAGAGGTGTGGTGGGTGAGAGAATTCACCAGAGACAGAGTGGGGAACAGAACAGTCAGATTGACCAAAGTACACGGCTGAGGGGAGCAGCGGGCAAGAAGAAGAGGTCTGCTGCACCATGTGGGTTGCGCCCTGGAGGGCCAGGGATCAAACTCGTGCTGCAGAGGCTGCGGACAGCTTCATAGGTTGTGTCTTAACCCCTTGTGCCAGCAGGGAGGTCCCCAAAAGTGCAAGCAACTTTATTTTTTTTTCTTTTTTTATTTATTTATTTATTTTTTATAATAAATTTTATTTTTATATTCCCCCATACAATTGCAAACGCCCCGTTCTGACCCCAATCCTTCCCCTCCCGCCCCCCACCCCCCAAAAAGTGTCTCTGGTTCATAGTTTTTTGTTGATTTTGATTTTCACTTTCTTATATTCATTTTCCTGGTCCCTTATTTAAGTTTTCTAGATTCCTGCTATGAGTGAGACCATCCGGTATTTTTCTTTTTCTTTTTGGCTTATTTCGCTGAGCATGATCCCTTCCAGCGCCATCCATGTTGCTGCAAATTGCATGTGTTTATCTTTTTTGAATGCTGAGTAATATTCCATGGTATATATGTACCACATCTTCTTGATCCAGTCATCTATTTTTGGGCATTTGGGTTGTTTCCAAAGCTTAGCTATTGTAAACAGTGCTGCTATAAACATAGGGGTGCAGGTGCTCTTTGGAATGGATGTTTCTGTGTCCTTTGGGTAAATACCTAGGAGTGGAATTGCTGGATCATATGGAAGCTCTATGTTTAGTAGGTCCAGAAATCTCCACACAGCTCTCCACAGTGGTTGGACCAATTTGCACTCCCACCAACAGTGCAGGAGAGTTCCTTTTTCTCCACACCCTCGCCAACATTTGTTGTTGCTAGTTTTTTTAATATGTGCCATTCTCACTGGTGTAAGATGGTATCTCATGGTAGTTTTGATTTGCATTTCCCTGATGACAAGTGATGTTGAACATTTTTTCATATGCCTGTTGGCCATTTGCATTTCCTCTTCAGAGAAGTTTCTTTTTAGCTCTTCTGCCCATTTTTTGACTGGATTATTTTCTTTGTTGTTGTTGAGTCTCATCAGCTCTTTGCAGATTTTTGTGATCAGTCCTTTATCATTAGTGTTGGGTGCAAAAATGTTCTCCCAGTTGGTGGGGTTTCTCTTTGTTTTTGTTATTGTCTCTTTTGCTGTGCAGAAGCTCTTTAATTTGATGTAGTCCCAGCTGTTTATCTTTGCCTTCACTATCACTGCTTTGGGTGATGTGTCTGTAAAGATGTCTTTGATGTGCAAATCCCGTAGTGTTTCGCCTATATTTCCTTCTATGTATTTTATGGTTTCAGGTCTTATGTCTAGTTCTTTAATCCATTTTGAGTTGATTCTCATTATCATTCGCAAGCAACTTTAAATGTGCAGAGTGCCAAATCATCATACCTTAGAACACCTGAAATAAAGCCTGTTTGCATGGGATGTTGTTAACCCAATTTTGTAATTGAGAAAACTTAGACTTGGGGATTGTGGCTTGCCAAAGAGTACTTGACTCATAGAGACATAATTCATATTTCATTCTAAGATGCCTATGTTCTTCCTACCATCTATATTGTACCCAAAAAGTGAACGGTTTTATAGAAAATGCTTAATATTTGGGCCTCCCCTGGTGGCTCAGCGGTTGAGCGCTGGGCTGTGAAGCTGCCTGCAGCCTCTGCAGCACCGGTTCGATCCCCGGCCGCTGGCGAGGGTCCCACATGGCGCGCAGACCTCTCCTGCCATGCCCACTGTTCCCCTCAGCAGTGTACTTCATCAGTCTGCCTGTTGTGTTCCCAGCTCTGGTGAATTCTCTCACCCTCCGGCGCTTCTGACTATACCCAGTGCTTGTATAAATAAATAAATAAATAAATCTTTAAAAAAAAAAAAGAAAAGAAAAGAAAATGCTTAATATTTAAATGTATCTGTAGTGAAGGTAGCTTAGTAATGTCACAGCAATAGACGCAGTTCAGTGGAACAAGATAGAGACACCAGAAAAGAGTTCAATTAATTGATATTTTGATATGGTAAATTTAGTAAAAGCTGAATAATTCAGAATACTGGCATTAGATAACTATAGTAGTATGATTTTTAAGTGATTTTAAAAGACATTAAAATACCTTTATGCCTAGGAAAATAAAAAATGTCCTAAAATTATCATGAAACAGAAATAATTTCTCCAAATGTAGTATTTTCATGAAACACTTGTGATGAATTTATTTACATACTTCAGGCCATGTATTTTAGACAATTCATTGTCAAGAGGTTTCTACAATGTGACTGACAACAAAGTCCATTCATTTCTTTCCACCCTTTTCCCTTTGTCCTCATTGTAAGACAAAAATTTGCTATTTATCACAAATAATTTACTGTTATTTTTGATACTTTGTTGGTTTTGTTTTTTTAAGATTTGTTTGTTTATTTATTTATTTATTTATTTATTTATTTATTTATGCAAGCACTGGGTACAGTCAGAAGCACGGGAGGGTGAGAGAATTCACCAGAGTCAGAGCGGATAGCAGAGCAGGCAAGCTGACGAAACACACTGCTGAGGGGAGCAGCTGGCGGCAGGAGAGGTCTGCACGCCATGTGGGACCCTCCGGTGCTGCAGAGGCTGTGGGCAGCTTTGCAACCCAGCGCTCAACTGCTGAGCCACCAGGGAGGCCCTTGATACTTTGTTTAAGTGGTGCTCATTTATGGAAAGTTACATGTAGGACTTTACACCTAAATATAACTAGTTAAAAATAAGTTTCAGGTTACCCCAATGACAATGGGTGTCACTACTTTAAGATTTGTCCTAGGCCCAAAAATGCGCTCAGAAAATTATATTTAATTATAATTAAAATCCTATCCATGGTGTAGCCTTCAGATCTCTTAGAGAGCTGATGACCTCTGCTCTTAGTACCTACATTATGGTGATATAGTGTGTATTGTAGCTGTATCATGGTTTTTTCTTAAATAGTCATTTAAAGTAAGGTTTCATAACAAAGATGTAAAGTCTGTCCATCCATGATTTTATTACCATACAAGCTGACAGACTTTTATTTCATTTAACTGAAGTAATGAATATTATCATTTTCTTATTTACACTTTAACCCTTTTTAAGGGCCTAACCCAAAAAGTGATCTCCAGGAACTGCCTCAGCCAAAGACTGGGGCTGAAGGCAGAGATGATCTTCAAGTTAAGGAGAAGATTTTACCAAATCTAGAGCCCGCTACGATGCCAGAAGCAGGTATGTTATCCATTAAAAATGCAATGAGTTGGCTTCTGTTTTCCACAGTGTAATATCTTTAATAAACAGAGATAACATTAATGTTACTTTAATAATAGAGTTCACATATAAAGAATCTTTGAAAGGTAGTTCAAACCCCAAATGTCTGACTCTCTGACTTAAATACTATTAAATACAGAAACAAATTGGGTCAAATCCATATTGAATTATAAAATGTGTAAACATAAAAAAGGGACCAGGAAAAAGGCTAATTATAATAAAGAAAAAATCAAAATCAACAAGCAACTATAAGCCAGAGACACACTACAGGGGGCAGGGAGGAGAAGGGATTAGGGTCCAAATAAGGGGGGTGCAATTGTATGGGGAATATAACCAAAATGAAAATGCACACATTGTGCAAAAATGAAAAATTATGTAGAAATTATATAAAATATAATATATTAAACATAAAAAGGTGTAAACATTTTCTTTTGAATAGTCACTTTAATAGCTAAAGATTTTCAGTCTTTTATAATTTCTGCTTTTAACAAATGCATAATGAAATATGCATTATAATGAAATCTGTATGAAATATGCTGAGGCACTAGAGTAGATTCTCATGCCAATTCTAACATGATATGTGTGATTCTGGAAGAATCCCTTCTAAAACCATCTTTATTCTTACATAAGTAGTAAATTCATATCAGATTTACTAAAATAATATTCAATGCCTATTTTTGTATTCTCTAGTTCTCTTGGAGAGAATACAGAGATATGTTTTGCATGACTTATTTACCATAAAGCATCATCTTGGGTCAAATTTTAACATTGATATTTCATTGCTACTAAGGTAATAAGTAAACACTGTGCTTGAATTTGTTACTTGTCCTTAGTTTCTGTTAAATTCTGAATTCTTCTGACTCTTAAAAAATAATTCAAATCCTTTCCCCAGTGACCTCAAATGACTAAATAATAAAATAAAGACAGTATAGTTTCGGGCCTCCCCCGTGGCGCAGCGTTTGAGCACTGGGTTGCGAAGCTGCCCGCAGCCTCTGCAGCACCGGTTCAATCCCCGGCTGCTCCCCGGCCACCTGAGGAGGGTCCCACATGGCATGCAGACCTCTCCTGCCTCCCACTGCTCCCCTTAGCAGTGAGTGTACTTCGGTCCTTCTGCCTGCTCTGCTTCCCGCTCTGGCTCTGGTGAATTCTCTCACCCTCCCGCTGTACGCAGTGTTTGTATAAATAAATAAACAAATAAATCTTTAAAAAAAAAAAGACAGTATAGTTTCTAGTTTCTGTAGCTGATCAAGTAGAGAGAGCACACATAATCAGTGATGCTCTAGGTGGGTATAAGATACTTACACTCCCTGTCCCCACTGTCAGTCTTAGTGAACTACTGAGAAGTTGTTGGGCACTATGATAAAGTCACCATTAACCATATCAAATGATAAGATTTGAAATTCAACTTAACAACCTTATATAATTCCTGAGTAATCAACTTACCTATGTTTTACATATGTGTTTTCCAAATTGCTGACCATTAATTACAAGAGCTGAATTTAATAGATGTTGCTTAGGGAAGATGCTTAGGGAGGAAATTGCTTTGTGATTTCTACAGAGTTTTACTCTACATTAGACTATTTACATTAAGAAAGTTTTCATATTGCTTCCAGTAGCCTATTGAACATGACTAAAATGTACTTATAAGATGATCATAAACTTTAAATGCATGTGTTATTAAATAGTTAATGTTACATGAACATCCAATTTAAATATAGGAATAAAAAAGAGAATAAAACTGCCTTTTGATGGGTTCATTTCATTTAATATGTTGTAAACTTCATCTTTTTGTTTCATTGTACCAATAGAAAGATTGGTGTATTTAAAAAATATTGATAGCCAAAGAGATGTGAACCTGTACCCTTAAATCGTATACAGTGTTATAAACCATTACCTCATTTAAAAAATGCAATCCAGGGCCTCCCCGGTGGCCCAGCGGTTGAGTGCTGGGTTGCGAAGCTGCCCGCAGCCTCTGCGGCGCCGGTTCGATCCCCGGCTGCTCCCCAGCCACCGGAGGAGGGTCCCACATGGCGCGCAGACCTCTCCTGCCGCCCGCTGCTCCCCTCAGCAGTGTACTTCGGTCCTTCTGCCTGCTCTGCTCCCCGCTCTGGCTCTGGTGAATTCTCTCACCCTCCCGCGCTTCTGACTGTACCCAGTGCTTGTATAAAACAAACAAATAAATAAATAAATAACATGCCTCTAAAAAAAAAAAAAATGCAATCCAAAAAATAACAAATATTGATAAAATGTATGCTTATCTGATAAATCCAAACTATAATATCCTTTATATACTTTAAATGTAATCGAGATAAAATTCTGCTAAGTAATGTTCCCAAATGTTATGTTTATGTTACAGGTGAAGGGCAACCGCAGGTTTAAACAAGGAGGAGCAGCAAAAATGCAAACTTTTCTAATGTTGCATATTTGACCTTTAAAATGCTTTCAATAAAGTTTTACAAAATTTGCTGCAAAGAATCTTGTGAGTCTTGTTAAGATTATTCCTAAGTATTTGAAGCTATTGAAAATTATATAATTTTTTGAAATTGTATATTCTGATTGAGCTGGTATATATAGACATATTTGCCCATAAATTTTCTCTCTAGCATCCTTGCTGAATATGCTTATTAATTCCAAAAGTTTATGTCTAGATCCTTTTTAATGGTCAGGATACATATCATTGAGATTTTTCTGCTGTTTTAAACATAATACCTTTTTTCCCTTTTCTAATTTTACATTGGACAGACCCACCTAGTACAATGTTGAATAGAACTAGTGAACATCTTTGTGCTATTACTGATAGGAAATGGAATTATTTTTTAACATTTCACCATATTTACTGTGAAGTAAAGAAAGTTCTGTTCTAATCTTAGTTTGCTACAGTTATTTATCTTAAATATATGTTGACATTCATCAAACACCTGTAGTCCATTTGTTGACATGATTATAGGATATTTTTCCTCCATTAATCATTTAATGTGAGGTGTTACATAGGTATATTCCAATGCTTAAAATGAATCTTATATTCCTGGGGAGGGGCATTGGTCATGATATATTATCCTTCTAAATATTCTATATCTTAATAATTTCTTTAGGATTGTTATGTGTGTTCTCACAAGTGGCATTATTTTCTTTCTTGGACATTGGTGTCAAGGTTATACAAACTTCACAAAATGAATTGGGTTGTAAAATCTTTCTGTTCTCTGAACCGTAGTCTCTGCAAGGCTGTGAATAATGTAGGGCTAGGCTTTCTTATGTTCAACTTTTTCTGGATTGCATTTCCTTTGTATTGGACCCTGCTTAAAGGGCAGAAACAGCAGGGGAAACTCCCAGTTCCAATCACTTCAAACTTTGTGAGGCATCCATCTTGCCATCTAATGATACTGTCACTCTGAAAGTGTATACGGTTATGACAATAGGTCTATTTTTTGAGGTCTTTAATAATAATAGGACTTAAATAAAAGACATGAAACTCCTCAAGGTAGAAAACTTCTTGACTGTGGTCTGGGCAATGGTGTCTTGGATTTGTCACCAAAAGCACAAGTTTTTGTTTTGTTTTTTAAAAATTTATTTTTATTTATTTATGCACACAGACCTGGGTGTGGGCCAAAGGTGCAGGGTGAGAGGATTCACCAGAGACAAGAGTGGGGAGCAGAACAGGCAGATACACTGAAATACACTGCTGAGGGGAGCCACAGGAAAGACAGGAAAGGTCTACTGAGCCATGTAGTTTAGCTCCCTGGCCAGGGATCAAACTCATGCTGCAGTGGCTGGCAATAGCTTGATAGTACTGAGACAATCCCCTGAGCCACCAGGAAGGCCCCAGAAAAAGCCCAAGTTTTTGCTGTGAAGAGTTTAAGAACATTCACAATAAATTGATTTCTAAAAAGACACATGCAAGCTGCATTAAACAGAATTACTTCAGGGAATAAAAGTGATACCCATTCTGTTATACATAAGTCAAGTATTTAAAGCACTTGTTATAAAGGTGTTTCTACAAAAGAATTTGCTATATTTAGAAGTGTTACTTCAGTGAATGGAAGTGATACCCATTCTGTAATTAATGTAGTGAATTGTTGAAGAACACAACAAAGATTTGCAAATTGTGGTCAGAATAGTGTCACTTCAATGAATTCAAGTGATAACATTCTCTAATACATGAAGTGATTGAGAACACTTGTAATAAAGATGTTCCTAACAAAAATCACTTTTCACAATTTTTCAGATTAGAAATGTACTTTTTGTAAGCCCAGTGTACTTGGCTGCTTTCTCTGATCATATATACATGGCCTACCTAAATCCAGGTTTCAGCAGAACTGTCTTCCTCTCTGGACACCCTCGGGGAGAATCTTTTTCCAGGTTCATTCTAGTTGTTGGCAGAATTCAGTACCATGAAGTTAAGGTCTTGTTTCCTTGCTGGTTGCCACTTGGGTTCCACCTTAGCTCCCAGACGCCTCTTTCCCAAGACTAGACTATGGATCCCCACATCTCAGAACCTGCAACAGCAGGTGGAATACTTCTGACAATGCTTCCTCCTTTGGTTTCCATTCTGCACCTGTCTCTCTCCTTTTCACTTTGTTGATAGAGTCCTTAGAAGCATAAAAGTTTTGATTTTGATGATTCCAAATTACCAATTTGTATTGTTCATACTTTTGGTGTCATACCAAGGAAATCATTGCCTAATTCTAGATTTTCAATATTTACACCTATGTTTTATTCTGAGAGTCCTATAGCTTTAGCTCTTATTTAGGTTTTTGATCCATTTTGAATTAATTGTCATAGATAATGTGTGGTATAGGGAGAAATTCATTCTTTTGCATGTGAACATTCAGTTATCCCAGAACCATTTGTTGAAAAGACCATTTGTCACTGAATTATCTTGGTGCCTCTGACAATAACAAATTGACCATAGAAATATAGGATTATTTCTGGACTCTCAATCTTATTCCATTATCTATCTTTGTTTTCCTTATGCCAGTATCTTGATGAAAGTAGCTTTGTAGTAGATTTAGAAAACAGGAAATGTGAGTATTTCAACTTTATTCTCTTTAAATACTGTTTTGGCTCTTCTGGGACCCTTCCATTTCCTGGAATTCTAGATCAGCTTGTTAATTTCTGGGAGTGGAGGGAGCAGTTTAAATTTTGATAGGGATTGCCATCAACTCAGTAGATATATTTGGGAGTAATGTCATTTTTTAAAATACTAAGAAGTCTTCCACCCTATGATTGTGAGATGTCTTTCCAATTACTTAGGACATCTTGAATTTACTTAACAGTATTTTCAGGTTTTCAGTGTACAAGTTCTACAAAAGATCTTGCAGGCTATGTTCAGAACAGTGTTACTTCAGTGACAGTCTTTTGTTATATTTACTCCTCATTATCTTATACTTTTGATAACATTGTAAATAAAAATTTTTTCCTAATTTTGTTTTTGAAGAGGTCATTGCTAAGGTATAGAAATATAATTAGATACCTGATGGGAAGAATACTAATGTTACCACAATTAAAGTAATAAATTATTGTTTAAAAAATAAAAAGCAAGAAAAATAAATATAATTGATCTTTATATGTTGATCTTATATCCTGTAACCTTACTGAAGTTGCTTTATTAGATCTAATAGGTCTTTTGTGTGTAGATGGCAGGAGCGGGGTTCCTTAGGACTTTCTATACACAGGATTATGTCATCTGCAAATAGGAAAGTTTTACTTCTTTTCCAGTCTAGGTTCTGTTTTACTTTTCCCCTTGCCTTAAACTGCCAGAACTTCCAGAGTAATGTAGAATAAACGTGGTGAAAGAGGACATCCTTGCCTTGTTCCTGAGTTTAGGAGGATAGACTTTCACCATTGAGTACAATGTTAGCTATGTGGTTTTCATAGATATCTTATATGGGTTGATAGTGTTCTTTTCTATTCCTAGTTTATTGAGTGTTTTTATCATGAAGGGATGCTAATGCTTCCCAATGCTTTTTTGTAGCTACTGAGATGATCCTGTGGTTTTTGTCCTTTATTCTACTGATATGGCGAAATTGATTCTTAATGTTAAATCAGCCTTGCATTCCTGGGGAAAATTCCACTTGCTCATGCTGTATAATTTGGCTTGCTAGTATTTTGCTGAGGATTTTTATGTCTGTTCCATATTGAGATATTGAATCACTGCTTGAAGGCCGTGTTAACAGAATCAGTTATAATTCTCATATGCTATGTGAATGTGTGTCCTGTGATGAAATGGTTGAAGGAAACCTCCCCAGGTTCTGTCAGTGAAAAGATTTAACACGTTGCTATCCTGACAATGCCCACTATTTGTGATGATAAGGAGGCTAAAGACTGCAATGTAGGGCCTCCCCTGGTGGCGCAAGCAGTTGAGCACAGCGCTGTGAAGCTGTCCGCAGCATCTGCAGTGCTGATTCTATCCCGGCCAGCCTACGAAGGTCCCACATGGCGCAGCAGACCACTCCTGTCTTGCCCGCTGCTCCCCTCAGCAGTGTATTTCAGTCAGTCTGCCTGTTCTGTTCCCCACTCTGTCTCTGTGAATCCTCTCACCCCCCACACCTCTGGCCTGTACCCCAGTTCTTGTATGCATAAGTAAATAAATCTTTAAAAAAAAAAAAGATCTCATAGGTGGCTAAGAGGTTCTTAGAGGATAAGACCCCAGGATGGATTTTTTCACCCACAGGACATGCTCAGGGAGGAGCTGCTCATTGAGACTGAGACTCCCAATATCTATGCTTCATGAAAAATCAGTATTTTTCTACTTCATGTTGAAGGGATCACATTTCTGTCAGGGACTTTGCAGATGGTGTCTTTGCTTGGCATTAGTAGCCTTTGAGATGTCAGTGGCTACCACTGTCACTAACAACCACTGTCACCAACACTACTGTGGAGTAAGGAGCTCTGGGGCCAGACAGACCTGGGCGTGGGTGCTGGTGTTTCCCCTTCTGGCTCTGGTGACCTTGAGTAAATAAGTTAGCTGATACACATTACACCACTTTACTCATTTGTAAAATAGTGATAAATGATAATGGCCACCTCCTAGGGATGGTGTGAGTATTAAAGGACTTAACTGATAGTTAAATAGAGCATCTCTGGAAAGAATAATAATGACAAAAACACTAATAATACAAGCTAATGCTTATCTTACATTTACTGTGCCAGGCCCTGTGAAAAACCTAATGAAGATCAACTCATTTACTCCTCTCGACAACCTCTAAGGATTCACATTACTTCACAGTGGAGAGGACTAAGGCACAGAAGAGTATGGGAATAATCCCCAAATCACACAGCTGATATAAGAGAAGCTGAGAATGACACTCAGGGCAACATCAGAACCCAAGCTCCTGACGACTGTCAGGCAGTGGTCATACAAGGCATGAAAGGGTCCATCCCGGGGGCCTCTGCTGAGGCTAAAAACTAGGAGAAGGAATAAGAGTAGGCTTCTGTGAGGAGTGAGCAATGGAAAGACACATTA